AGTTGTCGGTCCGTAAGCCTGTAGATAAAGAAATGTTTAAATTTTTTTCTCAAAGGAATCAGTCAAGTTGACTTAATTATAAAACCAGTTAGTGAAAACACTTATCTTGAAAGATATACCAGCTTTAAAAATCCACTAGTAAGTCAAAATTGTTTTGTGAAGGATGCTACATAACACCTGTATGTTTAAATAATATGGTATCTATATCGACAAATAGGATCTTAGATTTAGAGCGATTATTTATTTATAGAGAAATTATTATTGAAATTATGAAAAAAATTAAAGCCCGCAGAATTTAAATACATTTGAGAAAAGCTAAATGAGATTATGGGGTATCTATTTTGATAACCAAGACTGAAGCGGAGTATTTTTTTAGCAACGGACGAGAAACTTGAAAGCAACAGAACTTTATTTTTTTAAAAATCTATAGAATGTGGGATACGGGACTATAAATTATCTACTTCGAAAAGCATAATTGCGAAATAGAAACAAGTGCTTTTTAGCAACCATCAAGAAGTTTGGAACGTATGAAAGTCAAACAAATTTATTAAGATTTGAAAAATTTAAAGTCTATAGTAAGGAGAATATGTCGACTAGGCCAATCGTAATATAATTTAAACAACGATCAAAAAATTGGAAGATCGCACGATCTTAACAAATTAGAAAAAATTTATATAACATTATAAAGTAAATATATATATAAACTGGATCTTGAGGTCGGTATGTAATGATATTTAAAATCTGTTGAACTTAATGAAATTTGGGAATATACAAATAAAATTTCTCATAAGTGGCTTTATAACAGCACTTTGGTTTTTAAAAACTGTTCATTTAAGCAAAATTAATGCTTTTACAGTGGTAATTATAGCGGAAAAATAATACAACAGAATATTGAATATAATTCGGTGAACTTGACTAAATATAACTCATCAAATTATTATTTATTTTAAAGAAAATTCTTAATGTTAAGAAAAATTCTGAAGGATTAACCATCATTGAACTCATAGTTATAAGAAAAAATCAATAAACATCAACAAATCGGTAGGTAAGTATAATTAACTGGCAGAAAAATGGATTAAGTTTGAGTTTTCAGAGAGTTGTATATGATAATTGCATATTTGAGAGATCAATGTCTCTAAGCTTTAATGATTTCAACAAAGAAATCTGTAGCTACCGACGGTATCACGATAACTCGCTTTCTAAAAAACAAAGATTATCTTAACTGACCCATAAAATCAGAAAATATGTATATTGAAAAAAAAAAAAACAGCAAAAGATGTGCAAATGTAAGAATAGGAGCCAAAAGCGGAGATGGTTGAAGAAAGATTGTTCAGTATGTCTAGGTCCTTAATGGACTGTTAAAATGGCAATGAAAATGGTGAATGCTTATTAGTTTCAAATATATTTTGTTGCCTCAAGTCTTGACATGTCAGATATTATAACAAATATTGAGATATCGAGAGCCTCTACTTTTATTTCCATCAGTGAGAACAAGTGAAGAGTATGTACTATATGTACTTTTCAATATATATTTGATTTATAGTATAATGAGATATATAGTATTATATAGTATTATAATTAAATACTAATAGATAGCAATGATGAATCGTTTGTTTAAAACAACTTCTTACAATATAAAAATTTGATTAAGAAGTAAAAAGATTTAAGGTGTACTCTACGTTGCATTTGTCTTTAAAGAAAAAAAGCTATGATATTGGATAATTAGTGTAGTTCTATATATAAACGTAAGGAATATAAAAATAATTAGCAATGTTTGTGTTACTGCATTAGATACTCAATCAAAGTAGACAGAAAGCTAGAAATGAACTTTCAAAGAGAAAGAAGACATAATTATCGTCCCAATAAAATGAATTATAATATCAATATCTCTAAACAAAATTTAATTAATATTAATTTCAGTGTTTGGTTCTGGAAATAAGAAATCGTCCATGTTAGTAGGTAGAAAAAGTTTTTTAAGTGTTTCAAAATTTCGTCTGGAAACTTCAATGTAAGCCAAAAGCAGAAATTGTTGCAGTTTAAGGATGAAACTTTTATTAAGATGTCTCTTTGTTATTTCTTTTGGTTACAGGGTAGTACATATGGGAGATATTATGTATTATATGCTATGAGTGACCAGTATCAGTACACTTAGCACATAGTACATATGAGATATATGTTAAAACTAATGACATGCTTTTATGATGGACTTTAAGTGTTAATTTTCAGTATACTTCCTCATCTCAATTAGCTACGCTATTATTAAGAGACTATAATTGAAACCATAGTATTGCTTCGTAATATCTGGCTATTATAGCTTGAAAATAGGTTATCGTCATGGACCTAAGTTAGTAGCCTGAAAAATTGTAACTGTCTGTGTTAATTTTCTATTTACTTTCAGATCTCATCTATTTATGATATTGTTTAGATAGTGAAACTATGACTTAACTTCAAGGCATAAAGTCTTGCTGTCGTAGTGTCTATTTTGTTAAACATTATTAAGATATTAAGATAGTATTACAGAGATTTAAGCTTTTATTTATTCTCTATTTCCTTTCTCATGGCAGCTGCTATCATAGTTTTGACAAAATATTACTTAGACAATTATAATAAGTTGTGGTCTCTTCTCTATGTTTGCCTTAACTACTCTTAAGATGTTGTTAAGCTGATATATAATAGCAAAGCATAGAGTATTGCACACTTTTAGGATTCATTTTCAGTACTCGCTTACATCTCTACTCGCTTTCATCAACAATACCCTAATGCTATAGTTAGGGTAGTCTGACTTAAACCTAAGTTCAAAGTATAAGGTCTTATGTTATCATTTCTATCAAGTTTTTAGTAACACCTGGTGACAGTTTAATAATAATTTAACTGAGGCTTTAGCTAATAACAGTCTTAAGATATTGGTAAAATTGTTAAGATAGTATAATTCAGAACTGAGCTAAAAGTATATTTTAGAGTTCTGATGTCCATTTTTTATATGTTTCTTCAGAAACAGCAGATGGTGCCTGCCTATTCTACTGCTTAACTATTATAAAGAACTCTATAGATAAAGAATGTACTGAATCTACGATTTGGCTACGTTATTGTTATGCTAATATAACTGAGACTCATGTTAAAAATATAAAGTGTTGCAGTTTTATGGTCCATTTTCTGTGTGCTTCTTCTTGTCAAGTGGCTTCACGATTATGAAGATATTGTTTAGATTGTAATGACAGTATAATTTAAAACCAAAGCTAAAATAATTGAGTGTATTGTAATTCATTGTGCTGTGTTTCTACATACTATCTGACTTTGCTACTGTTTAGATATAATAACTGACTCCTTAGTTAAAGAATATATAGCAACATCTGGAGATCTACCAATTTATGACGCCATTATCAGGATAATATAACTGCTACTTATGTTAATATAAAGTGCAATAGTTTTGTGTGCTATTCTCTGTTTTCTACTTTAAGACATGTGTTGAGATACTGCTAAGATTGTTAAGACAGTATAACTGGGATCTAAGTAAGAAGTATCAATTATTGCAAGGTGGTAGGGCCACTTTTAAATACTCTTGTTTATATCATCTGGCTACGCGTTTGTTAATAGTAAAGGTAGATCGACATTTAAATCCCATTTCTTTTTTCCAACATCTAACGATAATACTGCTTAGTTGGTATAACTGAAATCTTAGTCAAATAATTGTTTGCCAAATGGAGGGACCCATTCTATTGTTAGGATAGTAGTACTGATAGTCGATTCAAATACATAATGTGTTTGAGTCTTCTGTTCTATTCTCTGTATTCTTCTTTCTGACATCTATAGAGATATTATATAGCTGGTATAAGTATGTTAATATTTATTGTTAAAACAGTACAGTTGAATCCTATATTCAAAGCGTAGAGGGGGTATTAGGATTATAAATTCATAGATCGTATAACTGAAATCTTTTTTAAGTTATATACTGTATAGTATTGATAACCATTATTTTATTTGATATCCATCATCTAGCTATGGTACTGTGTAGTTGGTATAACTTAAACCTTGCAGTTTTGAGGGATCTATCATTCGAAGATGCTAATATTACTTTTCCAGGCTTGTATTCTATTCTCTGTCTGTTTCTTCTAGACAACTGGTAAGATACAGTTAACAGTAGAGTATGTTATGGAGCACTAAGACCGTAGTTATTTTTACGTTATCATATGGCTATGGTGCTGTCTAATTGATATCACTCTACCTTTATTTACGTGGTATGTTGTATAATATTATTATGCAATATTTGACTAGACTATTCTTCAGATAGTCTAGGTGCAATTTGAACCTATGTCAATGAAATGCAGTGCTATTCACATCTCATCACTCTATAATATTCCTAATATTGTACCATATTGAAAACATGATATATCATATAGATAGTTTATAGATGATATAAACTATATTCTATTAATTACGTTCTTCTATTAATGTTAGCATAAAACAAAAAACACTTCAATTTCATTTAAGTTTACATTAGATATTTTATTTTTTCATAAATTGCTTCTAACAAAAATCTGATTTATATATATGTTTCCTAATTTATATGCTAAACTTTTTAAATATTATTATGCAAGAAGATACTTTTCAAATCGAATTTTTTATATAAATTCATTTAATCACGGCAATTAAGAAACAATTTTTTTTTATTTTTAGTTTTCATGAATTTAAGTTTTAGTTTTCAGTTTAACATTTGTATCTTTTTTAAAGCTGAGCGATGCGAATGAAGCAAATTCGCACCTATCTGTTCTTCTTCTTCTTCTTGCAAGATATACTATATATATTCACTAGATATATATATACACATATGTATGTATACATAGATATGTATACATATGCATGTATATATGTATAGATAGTTGGAGAGATAGATTTATATTTATATACACATACACATATAATACTTTTTGATATATTCGGCTTACCGAATTACGCTGAATTTCACAGAAATAAATTATTATATTTGTAAATCAATTAGCATTTAAATAAGGACTAATAAAATAATAATTGTATTAATAATTAATGATTTTTATAATTAATTAATTAATTATAGTAATTTTCGTTATATTGAAATATCTAAATAGTTTAGGATTTCATGTTTAATATATATGTACAGCGATGACAAATAAAAAAATGAATTTACGTACTCTACTTTTGCTTTATTCTTACACAAAGTATCTGAAGTATCTGACGGGTTTCGTATCTGAGAGGACGCATCGCGTCGTTTGCTTGTTGATTGGTGATTGGTGATCGAAACCTTTGTTACGCTTCTTTTCGGAGTTCGTATGCAGTGCGATTAAGTAGGTTTTCCAAGTACTTGAAGATACTTGGGAGCAAGACATATTGAAGCGTTTTTGTTTTCTAATGTATCCTTGGCCCAAGAAGAGAGTCTGTTTAGATACTTGCTCGTTATCAGTTTCTCAGTTTGCATAACTTAAAATTAGATATACATAGGTAAGCCCCTTGGTGCCGGATCTGTGAGGAAATAAGTTCGTTCTCAGCTATTGCGCGAGACCATCGTGATTGGTGTGAGTATCGATGTTGCGGCCGCCGTCGGCGATAGCTGTTGGCTTGGAGAAGGTAGCTGGCCCAGATGCGTCATGACTTGCAGTGGCTGTTGTGTGGTTGGTATCTGGGGAATTTGGTTCGTAAGTTGATTGTTGGCTATGAGATGTTGTTGTCGATGCTGTGTCAGATGATGATGCAAGAGTTGTTGATAATGTAGGCGCTGATACAGTTCCGTTGATGTTGGTGTGGTGTGACTTTGGTGTGGTATATTACCGAAGAATGAAGGTGTTGGAAATGTGATTGGCATTGGTAAGGAGTGTGGATTTTTTGGCACATATGGACTATAACGACCATACATGCTTGCCAAGAGGCCAGGTGCTGGTGGTGGGGTAGTTGCTGCGGGTGTTTGTTGCGGATAAAGAAATTGTCCAAATTGTGGATAGCTCAAACCGGGAAATATGGGACCAATTAGCGAACGTTTAAAAGCAGCTAAACGTGAACGTGAAGCAGCGGTTGTACGTCGTCGTAACTTTCCTGTTGAGCCGCCGATGAATACATCTTCTGCCGACGGATCGAGCATCCAATAATTACCTTTACCGGGATCATCGTAGTGACGCGGTACTTTAACAAAACATTTATTCAAACTGAGATTGTGTCTAATGGAATTTTGCCAGCCTTGTTTATTGTCACGATAATAAGGAAAATTTGTCATTATAAATTCATATATGCCATTTAGCGTTAAGCGTTTTTCCTGACTTTGCCTAATGGCCATCATAATCAATGCATTATAACTGTATGGAGGTTTTTCGTTACCCTTCTTATCGACAACGGGCTTGCCATTCGTTTTTTCAGTTATCATTTCTGCATCGATTTCACCTTCTTCGTCCACGTCCTCAGCCTCAATATCGGCATCATCAACGCCATCATCGCCACCATCCAATTCACTCTCCAACTCCTCATCATCTTCTCCATTATGTTGTTGCAGTTGTTTTTGTGCGTTTATTTTATTATCATTTCGAAAACTCAAGTCCACACATTCTCTGAAAGGCGTCGGCGACATGCTCGTCACATCGAGATCGGAGTCCACATCAGTTATGTCGTGATCTTCTGAGCCCAGCGGCGAATTGCAGTTTCTTTCGTGTGTTGTGTTAACGCCGTAGTTCTCTTCTTCATGATCCTCGACTGTTTCTGGTAGGATTGAATTGATTGAAAAACTCGATTTGAGATGAGGTGTTCGTGCCATTTTTACAAGTAACGCGTGCTTAAAATCCTCGACCTGAGCGGAAGATTCCTCAAGGAATGCAAGTGATGTTTGATGGCTTTGATTAGGTAGTCTTTTATCGTCTTTAACTCTATCAATTTTAACCATGATTTAAATTACAACACTTTTGAATTTACAACAAAGTCGACTTAGCTATACAAGTTCAGAAACTTCGTCTTCTTCCACGTCATTTAACTATCCACACTATATTATTTACACACAATGCAATTATATACTTCGACATGTACAACAACAAATAACAACAAATAATACCGCGCGTTTCAAACGTCTTTGCTATTTTGCTACTTTGTTACTTTGCTACTTTGCTACTTTGCTAATAAGCTTAATTAATTTCAACACACATTTGAGTAGTGCAAGTCTAAATATTTACATTCGGAGTTAAACAATTCGCACAAAACGTTAAACGTCTGTATCAAACAAACACGTCTGCATTGTGTAAACGCTAAAAGTGAACTAAGTTGTTGCTCTCTACAATGTTTTGGAATAAGTGCAAGTCACATTTTGCTTATATCATTGGCGTGTTTGCGTTAACCAATAAGAATTGTGGAACATTTTGGAGAGTTTTTTCTTCTGCTCTTCTGTTTTGTTTTGTTTGGATTCTTGCCTTTGCGTATGCCTAATAAGCATGCAATGCTGGTAGCAGCAATGTTGACACACACAGAAATTGTTGGTGCATGACTATTCAGCTTAAGCAACACCAATAATCACTCAAATTGTGAACAAACTGCGACTTTTCCCATTCGCTAATAGTAATTGTAATTGACAAGGAACAAAATTGTGCATTTTAGTTTGTTTATTTGCTCTCATGTATGGATGGTATGGATGGTATGGATTGTATGGTTGGTATTGTTGGTATTGTTGGTATGGTTGGTATATGGCTTGCCATGAGACTTGTTTTTCGACTAGCAAAAATTTGCTCTTTTTGTGTTTGCATTCATTCTGCAGATGCTATGTTTGTCGTATTCTTCTTCTTCTTTTCACCGCACACCGTATACAGTACACTGTTTAGTGTTCACTATTCAGTGTTCCCTGTTGAATTGGTTTGTATTTTCGTTGTTGTTGTTGTTGTCGTTGTTGTTATTGTTTTTAGTTTTAGTTTTTGTACTTATTTTCATTGTTGTTTTTATTTTTGTTTTTGTTTTTGTTGTTACTGTTGTTGTTGTTGTTGTTGTTTTATTTACTCTTAAACATTCTAGTGTGTATGTTTTGCTTTAGTAACGCATATGTTTTGCTGCTGCTCCAGCTACAGCTACAGCTTTAGTTTGTCTTTGTATTTGTGTTTGTGTTTGTATTTGTATTTGTGTTTTTGCTTGTGTTTGGAATTTTGTTATTGTTATTATTGTTATTATTGGTGCGCTTTATTTTTGAGTGTTTTTTTAAATAATTTCTTTTGCGAATTATAAACTGTAAATAAGATTAGTAGAAGCAAAGGACTTAATTATTAGAATCCGATTAAGATCATTGGATTTGGGAATGCTGCATCAATAAATAACATGTTTTCCTTATAACTTTTTTCGTTTAGAAAAATCTAAGGCCAAATCGGGTTGCCAGAGTTTTTGTTGTTGCGCTCCTAAAGGAGCATTATTAGGATCATTAACAGATTGCGCAGTTTTTGGATGGACCGCAAAACAGATGATATGTACTTATCTATGTGTGATCTTTGTATGAACACACATTTTCAATCCAGCTATGCACCTATTTTATGCCCTTAATTCACCCTTTCATTATTTGGAAAATATGACAGTGTTATATATTTAATATATCATTAACATTTTAAAAATCGTCATTTCATATAAAAATAATGAAATAAAAAATAATGAAAAATAATTTAATTCATATAAATTCATATAAACTGAAACAATTTTCATAATTTTCTAATTTATTTTATATACATTTATTGAATAATTTATTAAATTCATTTCGTAATGGGAACTAGGATTATAAAACCGATCAGGAATTTGAGATGATTTCGATTTAAGAAGTATTTTGTGGTTTAGACGCTTAAAGTTCCCTTTATTTATGGCCTATCAATGGACCCATAAGCGATCGATGTGGAGTTTGTTAAAGACTCGCTCTTAAACCTTATAAAACCTATATCTCTTCGTTTACTACATTGCAATGGACTCAGGCGACCTATATAAGACTAGTTATTATATCAAATTGTAAAGTTAGAATATACATATTTAAAAATGTTGTTCTAGGTTTTTGGAAACCCAAATAAAATCCGTAGTAAAGTATACACAAAAGTGATAACGACACATACATACAAATATGGTATATATATTTGATCTATTCATATATATGTTTATATATGAACAGAAAACTATTGTCAATTGTTAGAGTTCTCGAACACGAAATCTGTCGTATTCCGTTTTTCTCTCAATAGGTGGAGAGCCTCGAAAACCACAATGTAAGTCTTTAATCTTCTAAAACTTTATTTTTTGTTTTTTAAGAATAAATTTAATTGAAAAGCCTTCCACCACTAATGTGAAGGAGTTCTTTGTGAAATGGCCTGTATGCAGAGAGAAATTTCATAAGAATAATTAGGAAAGAGAGTTGAGAAAAAGACACTTAGTATTTAGAAGTCTGTGGTTTTCCAGAGAACAGTGTGAGAAACTTGATTTCAGTAAAGAAATTTGGGAATAGAGTTGAGATAAAGAAGCTTAGAACCTGGAAATCTTATTTATCTAAGTCAGAAAGCATGGTGTAGTATTGAACATCAATTGATTATGATATATGTAACGGTGATATTTATTCTTGACTTATTGCCATTCATATGTCCGAGTTTTTTTATAACCTTTGTCTGCAGTAAACTTGAACATTTTATTTGTTTATATACAAAATAATATAATAATATAATATTCTGACTGAACTTAGTAATTCACTATTCAGTGAATAAACGTATAAACACCAATTATATCTTAAGCGCTACCGAATACCGAGCTATCGAATCACTGAAATCGATCTGATTGATCGACTTCATTAGATGTTTTCTCTAATGATGTTTGAGTTTAGTTTTTTGCAAAATTGTTATATTTTTTATTTAAACCTGATGATTTTGTTGTGTGACACCTTATAAATAGACGCACCTTCCCAGTAAAATTAATATCTTGATCCGCATAACATCTGAATATAATGAATGTGTTTGAGCTGACAAAATGTCGTCTTTAACCGAAACGGAGTGAAAATTGTATTCTATTCTATTGTAACTATTTGGCTTTATTCTGAGCCAAGATGGATGGCTCCGATGGATGATTTAACCAAAAGACTTATTGAAATAAAAAAGCATTTAGGAAAATATGAAAATTAGGGAACACGCGCTATGGAGGATCAAGACAGCTATGGACTAGCAGGGTTACAGTTATTTGATTATTTATTTGATTTAAAAATAATCAGCCAGGAACGAAAGTTACTGGTTGAAAATTCTTTGATAGGTTTGGGGAATTAACAGGCCGTTAACCTAGGACCACCCCTGGGTTAACAATCCGCAGCAACTCGCAGCGGGTTTGTTTTATATAGATTCACTTAAGAAAGTATGATTTGGTAAATTTTGCGTTTTATATAGAAACAATCTATGAACATGCAAAACGGATAACCAAGAGAAATTTGGATTAACAGGATTTCAACTATTTGAAAACATTTGAAATGCATGTTTTTAGCCAGCTATAGAAATGACTGGTTAAAGATTGTTTAGTAAGTTTATGGGCTTAATGGTAAGTTATGGAATGGTTGATAATGATGACATTTTTCACTTGGATCTTAACATAGCATAATATGGTAAACCTCACGTTCCATATCAAAACCTATCTAGCCGTTCAGTATTGACATAAATTCTAATCTTTAGCTTTTCAATTATTAAATAAACTAAAATAGTAGTTAATAAACTATTCCAAAACTAGTAAATAATATTTCTCAAAATATTTCTAGCCAAAACAAAAGACGTAAAATTCTTCCTAAGCATTTCTAATAAGCAAAAATTCCATCTTTATGATACACATTTGCTTTGGCCGTTGGTGGCAGAAGGTGACATCTATGAATTGACCTTTAAATTATAATACTCGCATGCACTTAAAGAGGAGAAAATCTTTTATTGATATTTAAGAACTGACAACACACAAAATATCGCAAATAAGAAGCTATATTTTCATTGTATTGCCCTTCTTGACCCGATATTCAATTAACTTAATTAAAAGTGGGGGCAAAAGTTGTTTAATTGAAGCGGAGCACATTTGACTTCGGATGCAATGTGGAACAAACGGCTTGAAGACATGATGAGCGAGCGGCCTCAGTGTGGAAATGTGCACCGAACTCAGAACTCATGTGTGCACAAATCTTTAATGATGAGATGAATGCCTTCATCGCAGCGATCCAAAACGGAAATGTTGCAACTCACTCGAGTGTGTGTCATCAAGTATTTATTGCATTTGTACTGCCAAACTTTACGCATTTTGTATTTAATAATTTCACAAAATAAATGGTCAATGGTTTGACCGGCGGTCAGCACAAAGACTAATTCCGAGCCACCAGAGAAGCATTAGAGCGGCGAGCGACACTGAGTGAATGCCTCTCGAAAGCGCAGAGTCTACAATTTCCGACAATTAAGTCTTGTACGCTCTGCGTTCGAAGGATTCGAATGGAGTATCCATCAATTCGTAAACACTCGAAAAGGTTTAGCTTTTATTTACTTTAACTGAAAAAGAGGTTATTTATTATTTTTAAACATCATTTGTTAGTGCAAACTGGGCATGCCGAACGCCGAACACTGAACGCTGAGCGTTGAACGCTGGCACCGTTCGTGCTAAACGTGAAATTGAGGCAATTGGACGAATGCGACTAAACATCGCATTTCCCGGATTTCGTACGGAACACCATCGTACGTATGACGTGTTGATGAAAGTGTTTTTAATAATCATTTCATGTTTCTTTTTTTTTATTGGTTTTTTTTTTCACCCATTTGACGTTTTGAATTAATCGTCAAATCTACATGATTACAAATAATCGACCACCAAATGTGAACAGTGGCGAACGAACCTAACGGATTGCCATGACAAAAATCTTCCATCGAAACTCGTACACTTAAGAATTTGTATCTTTTTGTTATGAAATTTAGCAGAAAAGTGACAGCACGCACGTTTGGCACTTCTGCCCTCTCTTACCTATGCCGCATAGAGAAAAGAATACCTCCGCTTGCTTTGATTTCGTTTGATAAAAGCACTTCTGTGCAGTTGTGCGGATATTGTTAATTATATTTATTTATATCTGTACGTATGGGTACACAACTAAATCTGTATATACTAAATAATTGATCGATAATGCTTAATATCATTAAACAAATGTGAATATGATGAATTAGACACATAAAATACTAATGTGTGAAATTTTGAAAGCTCT